CTTAATACACACCTGGGAGTAAAGACTGTAGATGGCCAGCAGGGACATGGGGAAAAAGATGCCGATGACAATCTTTGACAATAAATCTCCTCTCTCATTTTTATGAAGCCAGCAGAACAGGTCTTCTTTGATAACCCAATGGCTACGACCATTACCATTTATGTCATAGACAGGGTAGCTGATGTTGCTGCTGTGATTATAACTTGAGTCCAAAGCAGTTTTTTGGTTTTCCATCTTTAAAGCAGAGCCTGTTTGAGAGATTTAGTTATAAGAGAAAAGAGAGATTTTGATCATGAACAAGTGAAACAGACATTATAGCTTTACTCATGCAAAGATTTATTGGTGATGAAAAATAAATGACATTAAGTTAGAACAGTGGAGCAGGATTCATTTTTCTTTTTTCATATTGAAACTTATTTATTTTATATGCTTTTGTAATATAAAAGACAATTAATTCTATAAAATTACTCTTCTTGCTCTTATAAAAAAAAAAAAAAAACTGTGATGTAGTTCTCATAGCATCCAGCAGAGGATGCCAATGGACACTGTCCTTAGATGCATGGAGCAGGGTGTAGAGTTTTGACAAATTGTATCATGTTTGTTCAGTGGTTCTAAATTGCCATTACTACATCTCAGGCCTCAGTCCTTTTTCAAAGCTCTAAAGCCCATCTTTCCCCTCAGCCTCTCAGTCTTCAGCTGATTTTCTAAAACTCCGAGGGCATTAATTGGCTATTACTAATAAACCAAGCACATCTGACTGGATAGAATCAGTTCAGCTATTCATTTGTGTGGAAAAAGTGGTAAAAGAATTCAAACTATCATCAGCCGAGTATTGGCTCCAGTCACAGGAGGAAAGGAGGGGTCTGGAGGGTATAAACACATTGTCCCCTTTTAATCTGTTGAAGATCCTTTGATATATCATAAAATGAACTGATAAATGCTCTTTAGGTTACTATGTGTGGATTGCAAAACATTTATTTTTTCTGCAATTTTATGTCAAAATAGTAGAAAAAATAGATTTTTTTAAAACTTTTTTATAATTACATTTTTCTTAATTGTATCTGTAATTTCTAGGCTTTTTGCAAAATTATGTCAAGATAACTAGCTAAATGCACTTAGAAAATAAAAGCAATTAAAAGCAGGTCAAAACTTTTATTTAAACTTTTATTCTGATATTCACTGGAACTCCTTCCTGTCTGATGTCCGACTGCTCCTGTTTTTAGGAGCCTGCTGTCGAGCCAGTAACTGGACCCACACTTTACTGAAACTAAGTGAAAACACTAATATTATTGATTTGGGTTCCTTGGGGAACTGAACTGCAGTCAGACCCTAGTCAGTGAGGGCCTGGCTTAAGACGTTATCTGAGATAAGTTCCCTCAAATATGTCTGATAAGATTATCAGCATTTTATCTGACTTTAGAATTTTAAATAACATGAAACTAAGACTGTTCAGATAGATTAACTATCAGTTTATTGAAACATCATATCACATTGACAGCAATTAACACTGATGCATTAAGTAAATAGAAATGAAACATTTTTTTATGATCAATTAGAATGAATCAAATGTCTTATTTTATTCTAAATTGTACAGAAAGTGATGAAAATATTTACCTTAGACAGCCTTCAGATCGGATTTGTTTCCTCCACCTGAGTGAAAGTGGTTGTCCTCTGCAATCACTCAGTCATCAGCGTATATAGTTACTGACATCAGGCTGCTGTTAGACACGCCTACCTCAGCTGTTCCTGAGAAACCAGCATCTGTTAACAGTAGGAGGTTGCTTGAAAATACACTTTAAATACAACAAGAGTATCTTTACAGTGATTGAGCCTGAATGTAAACTTCTAGTGAATCTGGTTAGCTAAGAATAACTTCCAGTGGAACCACTATTACAACTTTACTGGGTCTGATTAATTGTTGATTAAATAAAGAAAAATGTATCTAAACAAAACAACATAAAAGTTACAAATTAGTAGACACCTCTGTTTGGCAACCAACAAAGCCTCAAAGAGTTTAGAGGCCAGTGTGCTGAGAGCAATTATATTTTTTACTAACTCAGTCAAAGGAGCCAAAATGGTGCTGATTGTGTTTTTTTTTTTTACCAAATATAGAGTATTCTGTTAAAATTAAAGTGTCTAATTTTATTGATAGACTCCTTATGGATATGGCAAAGCATTTAGTTAAAAAATATTCCAGGTATATTATCAGCATAGTCCTCAGAAACCTAAATACCACTTTTTAAACCTCAAACCCATCCATAGCATCAGTGGATGTCAAAATGAGATAACAATGTACCAGTAGAGAGGTGAAACTCTCTGATGTGAATAATAGAGGTGCAGGGGAGTGCATCATCTTGCTTCTGCATTATTAGACCCAAAATAGGGACTTTGTCGAGTATTACTGCCAAACAGGTTGGATGGATGTGACCTGGCCGTTCAGACATAAGTCGCCTTTGAAAGGATCAAAAGTTCAGATATGCATCAGATTTAGGCCACATAGCCAAGTGGCCTGGGTCGTATTTTAAATATTCACATTGTTGCAGTTCAGGCAGT